GAATATATAAATATATGAAATATTTCACAAATCATAACACATACTTGGCAGGCCAACATCTTCACTTATTTGTTGTTATGCAATATTGGTCCTGTTTTTGTCCTGGTAATGTTTCACGCACATATTCCAAATTACTGGATGGCCCAAAACAGACAAAATTAGCCTTTACCCCATGGCTACAGATTTTTTTTTCTTTGCAGTTGCCTTTCAGGTCTATATATTATGCACTGGGTATCCCTCTGCATCTGCTGTTTATGATTCTGGGATGTGTAATTGTAATTTCAATTTCTTTATGTATTCTTTGTATTTTCAAATACTTAAGATGTCTAGACCTCTTAACCTCCCACCTAGATACAAAATCCTGCAGGATACGCCAGGTGTGAAACACACCCTAGGGGGTCGGAGCCAATACTCGCAGCAGACGAAAGAGTGTGAAAACAATGGGTAGGGGCGCGGCTCCCTGCCGCAGACAGAAGGGTGTGAAACATACCATAAGAAGCGGTCCTCAGGTATAAATAGGCCCGTTTCCACTGAAGAAGTTCCTGGTACTATTTGGGGGGCAGGAACTACTACAGGAACATCCTCTCGCTCGGCCCTCTCAACCGCCGTGTCTCCACTGAGAGCGGAGTACGAGGAAGGTTCCTGTAAAGTTACGGGCTCTGGATGTGACGTAATCGTTGCGCGACCATTTACCGGGGCGACGTAGGGATGCCGTTAGCTGTTAGCCCTTAGCAGTGTCTGTAATAACTCACTAAATGGCCCGTGGAATTTTTTTTTTTTTTCCAGCGGATGTCTTAGTTACAACATGATTGAGCTAACTGGAGTAGTTTCATGTTGTATCCGACAACAGGAGGCTTTTAACAGATGATGTCCTGATGTTAGCTTTGCTGCTGCTGTTAGCTGTCCCTGTCAGCTGCAGCCACTGATGCTTTCTAGACATCGTGATTTCCCAAAACTGAATACATACCACACATATCAACACAAAACTGCTTTGCTAGCTCAATCATGTTGTAACTAAGATATCCGCTGGAAAAAATATTTTTTTCACGGGCCATTTAGTGAGTTTTTTTACATGGCAGCGGAAGCTATATGAACGAACTAACCCTCGTCTGCTGAGTTTTAAAAATGCTGGCTATTTTGTTGCTTTCTGTTGACATCACATACCTCCTTGAGTATATCCAATCAGCACCAAGTAAATCCCAAGCCCCAGCCAGGAGTCTTTCGGGGCCGTTCTGAGTACCTACTCCGAGGCAGGGACTTGTTTAGCCCCCGTAAAAGTTCCGGAACTCTGTCCTTCGGGGTTGGTTCCTGCGGTGGAGACGCGCACCAATGGCCCCGGCCCCGTAAAATTACCCCGAAGTTCCTGCAGTGGAAACGGGCCTAATGTTTAAGCTTCCCCATGCTCGGGGTCTTTCTTCATTCTGACTGCTCGTGTGCTGATTGACCTTTTCTTTGCAAAGAAAATAAAAACCTTGTCGGCCTGCAGAAGTCTCTATTTCATTATTCACCAGCAGCACAGAATTTCCACAACAGATGCTACAACCAATGCCAGGACATCAAAAAAAGCTCATGGTTAGGTTTATACAACAAAAGCAGGATGTTAGCGTAGAAGGGTGTTAGTTGTAAGTTGTTTTGTGATTTCACCAAGGAACATGCAAATTAGGACTGGGTAGTGGTACCTTTAAGCTATCGACTCGGTACTATATAGTATCGACACGTCATCAGTCAAACAGTACCTGCATTCAATCCTTTTTGTGCTGCGAGTCTGATCCCGGACCGTCCCATCTCCTTGCTGAATCCGCAGATTTTCTGTTTACAGACATCGCCAGATCTGCTCTCCTCCCAGTGAATGGTCAGATTGACATCTTCCCGGTAAGCACGATCCACGAAGCTGCAGCAGCAACTAACTTCCAAAACCATAACGTTGACTCTGTCATGCTGTTCCCTGGTGTGAAGCTCACTCTCAGCCATGGCTGCAGAAGCAGCTTTCATTTCTTTGGTCACCAGACATCGAAACCTAATTTCAACAAAATATAAATGCCTAACAGGGGCGGCACGGTGGTGTGGTGGTTAGCACTGTCGTCTCACAGCTCACACGGTTCGATCCTGGGTGTGGGAGCCCTTCTGTGCAGAGTTTGCATGTTCTCCCCGTGTCAGCATGGGTTCTCTCCGGGCACTCCGGCTTCCTCCCACAGTCCAAAGACATGCAGATTGGGGATTAGGTTAACTGATAACTCTAAATTGTCCGTAGGTGTGAATGTGAGCGTGAATGGTTGTCTGTCTCTATGTGTCAGCCCTGTGATAGTCTGGCGACCTGTCCAGGGTGTACCCCGCCTCTCGCCCAATGTCAGATGGGATAGGCTCCAGCCCCCCCGTGACCCTCAAGAGGATGAAGCGGTTAGAAGATGGATGGATGGATGGATGAATGCCTAACAACGCCGATGGCCAGCTTGGTTGTTTCAAGAGGATAAAGAGAGGTATTTTGTTGGTGCTATAATCCTCGGTCGCAGTAAAAGGAGTGTAGTAATGCTCTCTCTCTCTCTCTCTCTCTCTATCTATCTATCTATCTATCTATCTATCTAGTGGTTAAAGCAAATAAAAGTCTTGGCTAATAAATGAAGTCCTACAGAATACATGCCACACCGTTTACATAGGGATATTGTATGAAGTACTAAACTGCTATCGGTATCACATTAAAAGTACTGGTATCATAATTTTTGAAATTATACCCTTAGTGCATATGTACACTGATCAAGTCAGTTAAAGTTCAGGGATTTCAATCGCACAAGTGATTGTGAATCTGTTTCACCTGCATGTGGTGCCCACGCATAATTGCTCTCTCCATATCCTTCCTGACTGATTCTTCTCTAGTTTTGTGTGCTAGTGTCCTTGTCACTACTGGTAGCATGAGGCGGTACCTGCAGTCTAATCAGGTTGCACACATAGTCCAGCTCCTCCAGCATGGCACATCCATATGTACAGTCACAGGAAGGTTTGCTGTGTCTCCCAGCACAGTCTCAAGAGCATGGAGGAGATACCAGGAGACCTGCTGTTACACATGGAGAGCAGAGCATCAATCCAGCAGCAGGACTGGTATCTGCTCCTTTGAGCAAGGAGGAACAGGAGCACTGCTAGACCCCTAAAAAAATGACTTTCAGCATGTGTCTGACCAAACTGTCAGGAGACTCCATATCAGAGGCATGAGGCCCAACGTCCTCTAGTGGGAATTGTGCTCACGGCTCACCCTCATGCAGCTCTATTGGCATTCGTCAGAGAACACCAGAATTGGCAGGTCTGCCTTTGGCACCTGTTCCCTTCACAGATAAGAGAAGGTTCACACTGAGCAGATGTGACAGGCGTGAAAGAGTCTTGAGATGCCATGGTGAATGTTATGCTGCCTGTAACATCATCCAGCATGACCAGTTTGGCAGTGTGTCAGTGATGGTCTTGGGAGGCATATCCTTGGAGGGTTGCACAGACCCCCCTGTCATAGCCAACGGTACCCTGACTGCTCTTAGGTACTGGGATGGGAGTGATTGTCAGACCTTATGCTGGGCCCTGGGTTCCTACTGGTGCAGGACAATGCCTGGCCTCATGTGACCAGAGTGTGTAGGCAGTCCTGGGATGATGAAGGCAGTGATGCCGCTGACTGGCCCTCTCGTTCCTCTGACCTAAATACAGTTAAGCACCTGTGGGACGTTATGCATTGGTGCATCCAACGCCACCAAGTACTGCCACAGACTGTCCAGGAGCTTACTGATGCCTGATCTATGTCTGGGATGAGATCCCTTAGGACTCCACCCACCGGCTTAGTCAGGAGTAAGCTAGACATTGTCACGAGTGCATACAGGCCCTTGGGGACCATACATACTACTGAGTCACATTATGTGATTATGTGATTTTAGATCCAGCCCTCAGCAGGTTGATGATTTCTGTTTCCATTGACTGTTGTTGTGTCATTTTGTTCTTTTAACAAATTATTCAATGTACACAAGTAAAGATTTTAAACTTGAATAATTTTAGGGATGCACCGAAATGAAAATTTGTGGCCGAAGCCAAAGCCAAATAAAATTAAACGCTTGGCCGGATACTGAGTACCAAGTACCGAATACCGAATACCGTTGTTTCGTTTTTCATTAGTTTTTGCAGATGAACCCCCTCCAGATTAGTGTTGTCATGGTACCAAAATTGTGACCCACGATACGATACCAGTGAAAATATCATGGTTCTGAGTAGTATCACGATACCACAGCGAAAATTAGGCAGATGTGCCTTTTGTCATTTATAAAAAGTTAAATCACTTTTCTATAATACATCAGTGATATTTCAATGGAATAAATTACTTATTGACTTATTCATACTTCAAAAACAGCATCAATAAAATAAATAAATAAAATAAAAATCAACCAGCCTCCCTCCTCCCCTGACAAGTAAAGAACAGTTCCTTCATAAGTAAAGAACCATCCCTAAAGTGCGGCGAGGTTTGTGGACCGTTACCTGCCACAGAGAGAGAAATGTGAACGGCTCATTCTCCTCTGACACGCCACATACCTGTGTGCTGCCACGGTTCTGCTGTCCAGGTACTTTTGGGCAATCATGACGCCAAGAAGAGGACATTATGGAGCCGGACTTCTCCATTGCCTGTAAGCCTATGGCCGCCGTATTTGACAGGAATACATTCCTGTCAAGGAATACATACACGCTGTTTGATTGCGTTACCAAAACAAGCCGCTATTATTCGGCCTTGCTTTTCACTTATTCCACCGAATACCGAATGTGTGGTTTTTTTTTTGCAATATAATAATTTGTTCATCAAGATCTGATGTGTGATTTAAGTGTTCCCTTAATTTTATTGAGCAATGTGTATCTTGGTTGAAAAAAAAAAAAAAAACTTACCTTGTGCTTGTAATTATGCATGTCTTGCATAAGAACATATTTCAACATAATACATAAACTATTACGAGTGGAACTGTACACTAATGAATATAAAGACAAAAATCTTTGAATTTTAAAATACTTTATTTCATAAACAATATCTAAATTCAACATGGTTGGTCACATACACAGTAAGAATAGAAAATGCTTGGAACTAGAATAAGAGAAAACAAGAATTGGGCATTCCTATCTGCTCCTGGAGTAGCAGTTTAAGAAGTGAGCTCACTGTGTGAAGGTGATGGTGGTTAGAAAATTGTGCTACACATGGAAGAGGCAGGTTCAAGCCCTTGGCCTGCTTGTGTCTCTGTGAAAGACACTTTGACCTGCATATGGAAGGGAGCAACTTCGTCTCTGGGATCACTGTACGGTACCTCAATATTCCTAGACAGCTCACACAGATCTCATGTATCATTTGCATCATCTGCTACAGTTGCTTTTATTCAAATCACAGAGAAAGACAGATCAATCCTCAGCACCTTTCTCATCTTCTGCTTTATTCACTACTCATTCTGTCTTATCATGGTCTGCTTACATTGGAAAAAAACATTTAGTTTAAGGTAGTGCATGGAGGCAAGCCATCAGTATCTCATAAATAGACATAAATAAATACATTTCAATACTGAAAAGACATCATTATGGTCCATGGTGTAAATCAAGCTAGAAAAGATTCACATTGTCCCCCCATCTTTAAATAGGGCTGGATATATCTTTACATGTTGGAAGACCCTAACCTGTGTGGCTAGACTATCTTAATTGATCTCTAATATAAAGCCAAATATTGAGAATATTGTGCAAGACACTATTTGTGCAAAGAATGTGTGCTCCTCTACTATAAAAGCTTCGACAGGTGTCAGTTTTTAGTCAGAGTTTTAGAAAAGTTTCCCACAATAGAACGACACTAGGACAACACTAAGAAGGCATTTGCTGTATAGAATACTGGTTGCTGTAGATCATAATTCAATTAGAAATGCCTTTTGTTAAAGAATACACCAAAATGCACACGTCACAAAAGCCATTCACATAATGTTAAAAAGAAAAACCTATGGGCCATGGACTGTGCTATCCAGGAGAAAATATAGAGAACTGGCTGCTCTGGCAGTTCCCCCAGAACGTTTTCTTTTCTGTACAGTGTTATCTTGTCCATTCATCCCTTGTTTTGGACTCGTCTGTTTAGCTACAGTTTGTGAGACATTGAGGAGGAGGAGGAATGACTGAGGGTTGGTGAGCTGTGCTGTGCTGGACGGTGCTTCACCATGCTGTGCCTGAGACAAACAGTGCAAATGCTACTGTGTTCTTCGTCCCCTGGGCTACTTGCGCTGCTACTGTACAGTAAGTACCGTACCACTCCAGAGGAGGCTGTGCATGTGTGCTAAAATGTGTTTTTGTTTGCGTGTATGTGTGTGTGTGTGTGTTTGTGTTTGTGTGTGTGTATGTTTGTGTGGTACAAACGTTGGCCAGGCAGTGATTAACTCGGGTCTTGCTACGACCAGTCAAACTGTAAACAGGACTGTCTTCAGTTTTTATAAACAGGCGAGCATAAAACATGTCCTTCTGTCTTAAGGGGACTAGTCAGAAAAGAAGCTTGACCCCCATGCAGTTCATTGTTTGACTTCACAGCAAAAAAAGAAAAAGAAATCTCTTCTTCACTTTGAAATTTCTTCACTTTCTATTCTCAAATAAGACAGTGGCAATCTGCGTATCCAGAGGGTTTTTGTTTCTTTCCAGTTGCTGACATATCAGTCGTTATATGAGGTAATCAAGGAGTAGATCATACTGAAACAGAAGAAGAACAAACAGGAATTCAGGAAATGTAAAGCGAGTAAACACCTCTCTGATTGGACAGGTAGGCAGAAGGTGACAAAGTGAGTATTACATAATTCAAATAAACTAATGGCCTGCTTGAGGCTTTCAGATAAAGCTTTTGAGCACTGTGTGTGTGTGTGTGTGTGTGTGTGTGTGTGTGTGTGCATGTGTGTGTGTGTTTTCAAACATTTCATTAATCCATAGTCAGTATTCCTGCTGATTCATCTCAGTACTGCTGTCTCAACTGCTTACAGATTTAATGGGAAGTCTGTTTGTGGCCTTAGAAGTTAGAGTCTCACAAGTGGACTTATTTATTTAGTTGCTGACAGCAAACATTTATCTGTGATGTCTCTTTGCAGCTTTTCTGTCATGATCTGCATTATTCAGAGTAATGCTGCTTCTTCATCAAAATTTGCCCTTCATTACAACAACACAAGGGGCTGCTGCATTGGTGGGAGTGTGGTGTAAAGTACCAGTGAAACAATGAAACCCGGGAAGTCTAATTTGAGTAATATGTCCATGAGTTTAAAGGCATATCAGTCATCAAAACACCGTACAATGATTAATTCTGTTTTGATATGGGATTTTACAACTCAGAAAGTTTTCACAGCAGCAATTTAATCTTATCATGGGAGACAGCAGAAATATGATGTTCACATTACAAAGTCATCCACCAGTTAAATACACGGGCCCATATTTGATTGGCCAATGTAGTGTCTTGCCAAATGACGTTGCACTGGCATCCCTGCTGTGTCGTTGGACTGGACTCAGGCGATTGAGTCACAGGGGCTGTGTTTCAAAGAGAGCTCAAGTTGGTGTGAATGCAGCTTTAGAATGTGTGCAGATCAACATGAGCACAGCAGGAAAAAATGACAGCTTCCTCATTTACTTTGATGAGACAGCTTCGTTCACAAAGAGGGCTCTGGCAAAATCATCCAGTGACACGGTGTGCTGCAAACGTACGTTCCAGTGCTTTAAAGGCTCTGACACACCAAAAGGCCTTTTCCATTGTCACTTTTGGATTTTGCATATCCATTATCAATTATGTGCCATGCCCGCAAAGCTGCACCAGAGATGGACCTTCTCCTGTGTAGGTCCAAAAGTGGGGCTGCTCACCCTTGAGCAGGTAGCGGTGACATCGCGCAGAATGCAGCCAATCCCCGATCCCCATTTCCCCATTTCTCCCCCTCAATTAAAACGTGTGTTGCAAGTCTCTAATCACCTCTGTCTGCAGGAGACCAGAGAGAAAGGCGTTTTTAAAAGTCTCTGTGTGTTCAGCTCTCAGTACTTTTGTAGCTTCTAACTGAATCTCTGTGGTTTGGAGTTTAGCTTCTCTCCTGTGTCCTATATTTACTTAAGAAATTTGCTTTATTTTACTGTTTCATGTTTGTTATCAGCTGTATTAGAAGTTGTGTGAAGTTGCTGCTTAGAAACTCAACATTTCCTTATTTTGCTGCTTCACAAAAAGTTTTTACATGACTAAATAATGGGGCACGTTTATAGTGAAGAATCAAGGAAATGCAGGAAATTAAATGTATTTATCACTGAATTAGTGGAACTTTGCGGCTTTTCTTCAATAAAGGCAAGTCGAATGATGCTGCTGCTTTTAAATGTCATCACTCAAGACAAGCCATCATCAGTTAAAGACACACCTTTAAGCAGGTAGCCCTGTAACAATGTAATATAATAGCAAATCCCTGTTTGCTGGCAGCAGGTTAGTAGCAGGATTGCAACTGTGCTAGCTTCCCAGAGCTGTAAAATCCTTACTCATCCTTACTCACAGTGCACTGGTTTGGCATTTGATAAGCCCTCAAAATCATATAACTACAGTTTAAAACTTCCTTCCTCGATAAGATTTCATGATGCAACACAACCGCCTTCCATTTGTTTTAAACAAAGTGTTGTCTTCTATGCACTCCTCTAGCATTTACCATTATTCTGTAATTGCACTTATTACAATCGTGGCAACTATAGCATGTAGACAGAAAAGCCACAGCGCATTTACAGTACAAAACAATGGGAGGTGGCCTTCATGTGCTTCAAATGCAGATGCTTTTCAAAGCTTTTTGTCAGAGCAGAGAACCTCCCAAAGTTAAGCAAAATCCAGCTTTTCAGAAAAAATAAACAAATAAAATATTTTTTTTAATTGCTATATAAATCTATCTATCTATCTATCTATCTATCTATCTATATATATGTATATATGTATATGTACTATATATATGTATATGTGTGTGTATATGTGTGTGTGTGTGTGTGTATTCTTCAGGTTTCTACATGATATAAAAATGTAAAAACAACAATCCTTCCTGGCATGATTGTGTTGTTGTTTTTTCATTTTTGAAAAGACTGCAGCTGTGGAAAAGTTGCTACTGAATGCAAAAGAAAAAGCAAAAGCTGATGATCATGTAGTGCAATGAGCATGTAAAAAGCAAGCTGTAAAGCACACATCTCTGCAAAGTGACAAAATGATTTCACCATCAGTAAACCATTGACAAAGATGGGATTCTGCCACACTATATGCTTTCTGACACAGTGATCTGTGACATTTACCTGAAAAAAAGAGAATGATAAAGAACTGCATGAAATAACAACCAACAGCCAAAATCACAGACTCAGGATTCAACACTTATTTCATGGTGCTGTGACTTGACAAAAACAGATCAGCACCTCGCTGACAGGAACTAATGATTTCAAACATTTGCATTCATCCCAGAGGCCTGTTCGAGCTCCTTACACCTCAGTTAGTCTCTACTGGTGAGAAGACTGCAAATTCACTCTGTTTATCACAATTATCCACAGACAGAGAGAGAGAAAGGAGAGGATGTATGTGAGTATCTGATCATGAGTGAAAGGCTGGTTCCTCCTCTGGGACTTGACCTCCTCCCATTAAAGCCTCTGAGAAATGGCTTCATCATTAGTAGATGGACTTGTAGCTCTTTAAAATACAGCTCCTTTACTTTCACAGCCTAATTAGATATAACAAAACACGATGTACAGTACAGGCCAAAAGTTTGGACACACCTTCTCATTCAATGCGTTTTCTTTATTTTCATGACTATTTACATTGTAGATTCTCACTGAAGGCATCAAAACTATGAATGAACACATGTGGAGTTATGTACTTAACAAAAAAAGGTGAAATAACTGAAAACATGTTTTATATTCTAGTTTCTTCAAAATAGCCACCCTTTGCTCTGATTACTGCTTTGCACACTCTTGGCATTCTCTCCATGAGCTTCAAGAGGTAGTCACCTGAAATGGTTTTCCAACAGTCTTGAAGGAGTTCCCAGAGGTGTTTAGCACTTGTTGGCCCCTTTGCCTTCACTCTGCGGTCCAGCTTACCCCAAACCATCTCGATTGGGTTCAGGTCCGGTGACTATGGAGGCCAGGTCATCTGCCGCAGCACTCCATCACTCTCCTTCTTGGTCAAATAGCCCTTACACAGCCTGGAGGTGTGTTTGGGGTCATTGTCCTGTTGAAAAATAAATGATCGTCCAACTAAACGCAAACCGGATGGGATGGCATGTCGCTGCAGGATGCTGTGGTAGCCATGCTGGTTCAGTGTGCCTTCAATTTTGAATAAATCCCCAACAGTGTCACCAGCAAAACACCCCCACACCATCACACCTCCTCCTCCATGCTTCACAGTGGGAACCAGGCATGTGGAATCCATCTGTTCACCTTTTCTGCGTCTCACAAAGACACGGCGGTTGGAACCAAAGATCTCAAATTTGGACTCATCAGACCAAAGCACAGATTTCCACTGGTCTAATGTCCATTCCTTGTTTCTTGGCCCAAACAAATCTCTTCTGCTTGTTGCCTCTCCTTAGCAGTGGTTTCCTAGCAGCTATTTGACCATGAAGGCCTGATTCGCGCAGTCTCCTCTTAACAGTTGTTCTCGAGATGGGTCTTGCTAGAACTCTGTGTGGCATTCATCTGGTCTCTGATCTGAGCTGCTGTTAACTTGCGATTTCTGAGGCTGGTGACTCGGATGAACTTATCCTCAGAAGCAGAGGTGACTCTTGGTCTTCCTTTCCTGGGTCGGTCCTCATGTGTGCCAGTTTCGTTGTAGCGCTTGATGGTTTTTGCGACTCCACTTGGGGACACATTTAAAGTTTTTGCAATTTTCCGGACTGACTGACCTTCATTTCTTAAAGTAATGATGGCCACTCGTTTTTCTTTAGTTAGCTGATTGGTTCTTGCCATAATATGAATTTTAACAGTTGTCCAATAGGGCTGTCGGCTGTGTATTAACCTGACTTCTGCACATCACAACTGATGGTCCCAACCCCATTGATAAAGCAAGAAATTCCACTAATTAACCCTGATAAGGCACACCTGTGAAGTGGAAACCATTTCAGGTGACTACCTCTTGAAGCTCATGGAGAGAATGCCAAGAGTGTGCAAAGCAGTAATCAGAGCAAAGGGTGGCTATTTTGAAGAAACTAGAATATAAAACATGTTTTCAGTTATTTCACCTTTTTTTGTTAAGTACATAACTCCACATGTGTTCATTCATAGTTTTGATGCCTTCAGTGAGAATCTACAATGTAAATAGTCATGAAAATAAAGAAAACGCATTGAATGAGAAGGTGTGTCCAAACTTTTGGCCTGTACTGTATACTAAAATATGACTTGCTACATGAGATACTGCAGCAAAGAGGAATATACTGACACTAAGAGAAAAAAATATATCATGCTTTTTAATTTGATAAATATTCATCATTATTTTTATGCTTTTGCACGTGATCATATTTTTCATTTCTCATTTAATACAATTAGTGCTAGCTATTAGGTTTTCAAAAAAATAAATAATAAGCCTTTTGTAATATTTTTATGGTCATTCATATGCCATGGACGAGAAGAACATTAATAGGACCTCTGTTTTCTTGAATGATTTCCATCCAGCTGGGTTGTCTGTTGTTTTCAGTAGACCTGGAATTGTATTATTAATGTGTCCAAGTCCA